ATATAAGACCGCGATACACAACTTCTCCCAGTCGCTCCTGTGACAACATACTTAAACCTTTTGTGTAAGTTTCCGCAGCCACCCCGCGAGAGCGAGAGAGAGAAAAAGAGAGAGAGAGAGAAAAAGAGAGAGGCCAAGAATGCAGGAGACCACACCCATATCTGCAGTCATGTGACCAGAGTGGAAAAAGGAAATCCCCACACTGCAGAGCGAAGAGGAAGAGGCCTGGACTCACTGTGGAGCACCACAAACACACAAACACACGCACAAGAATTATCTCCAGGACATTTCCACACACACACACACTGTTTGTCTGAGTTCAGTCTGTGTCAATGATGCACTCAGATGGTGACACAGTATCAACAATTACAAAGGATCATCTTACAGTTCTTCACACACACATACGACCCACACGAACACACACATACACACTACTTGTTAAATGACTCATCACAGGAAACACTACAGGTGCAGACTTGCTGCCAGTTTTCTGGTTGCCTCTATATTACTTTGAGCTGCTCTTTTAACCCTTTAAACCCCAGTCGGCAGTCAGTGGAAGCTCATGCGGTTTGTTCAAACCCACAGACCTTTATTTAAAAAGGGCAAAGTTTCCAAAGATACCATATATGTCAGTCAGAGTGGAAACGTGTCTAACACCAGTTTAATGTTTACCCAGCCAGTGAAACGAGGAGGGACCATAGCAAAGAGAGAAAAAGATTGTTTTTTAATATTAGATTTAAAAATCTTAACCTCCCATATTTGCATTTGAGGAGGTTTATTCCAAAGAAGGGGAGTTTGGTAAGTTTGGTCCAGGCAAAGACGTCAGGTCAGATGAAATATAATCAAACTTCCTTCGATCTTGTGAGGATGCCTTGAACCAAATGAAGACCTCTTGTTTCCGTGAAGGGTTGGTCAGGGAAAAGTCCGTTCTGGTAATCAATTCTGGATGTTATGACAGCATATCCAAGGAGTTTACCATCTGCACTGGATAAAACAGGACTGATCTTGGCTATGTTACAGAAATGAAATGAGGGTGGGGGTGGGTACGAATGCATTTTTGGAGTATAAATGGATGTTCGAGCTAGAACGGGGTGTTAAGTTGCTCTTCACGTTTGGCTTTACCAGACTCACACACAGAAGAAGGCTTGAGCTCATCGCCATGATAAACCCATCAATGACAGCGGCTCCTCTCTCTCAGCAGTCAACGGAGTCAGACTGACTGAACACTGTAGAGCAGCAGTGTTTGTTCAAAGTTCACCCTCACTGGAATTATTGATACCACTGACCGTGGTGAAAGTGAGATTATACACAGTTGTATGGAAATAAAATGACTTTAGACCTGACATCTGCAAACATTCACCAAGGCTGTAAATTTATGTGAAGACCCGTCTATGTGCTTCCAGAAGAACAAATACAAGCAGAGATTTGGACATATAGATTTACATGTCATATATTTTTATACATGATCAGTTAAACTAAGAGTACAAGAGTTAAAACCTGTGCGTATTTTGGTATTTTTGCATTATAAGCACAGCAAGCAGAAAATATCTTAAACTATAAACACTTATAGAAGCTAGCTGCTGTCCAATCAGAGGAGAGGAAGGGCCGGGCTATCCCAACTGAGATATAAACTACAACAATGGTCAGTTTATTCTCACGGTTACAACAAACACTGAGTCATTAATGCAGTGTTTTGAGCTACAGGTGAGGTGTCAGAGCGAAGCTGAACTGAGACACCATCAGCTCTCTTAATAGATTCATATGACCGACGGCCGCACATCCATGTGTGACAGGAGATGGCATGAACTGATAAACTTGTACAAACAGAATTTGATCTGTTCTGTAAGCTGTCACATCATAGCCGTGTGAAAAAACACACACACACAATGCACACAATACACACAATACACACAATACACAGTCCACAAAGTCTATGGTTTCATGTAGAAATCTCATTCCTGGGATTCCTGGCTGGATGAGTGGACAGTTTAGACAACCTGAGGCCCCCCAGTCTATTGTACTGCTGCAAGAGTGTGTGTGAGTGTGTGTGAGTGTGAGTGTGTATGTGTGTGTGTATCTGATTACTTGACTATTTCAGTAGGATATAAAAACCAGAACTATCATTTGTCTTTAGTCCTTTCCTTGTTGCAGCAAAGCATCAAACAACAGCAAGCTAGGTGGACAAAATGCTGAGATTCCTTGTACCTGTTACCACCCACATGTTCTATGTATTTACAAACTCAGTTATTGCTTCTCAGTAGGTTCAAATCTGGGATCATCTGTCATTAAAAGCATGTTAAAACACTGAATTCTGTTATAACAATCTTGCCCAAGTCATGCCTTCCCCAGCCGAGTCTCCACAAGGGTCCAGGTTACATTAATTCAGTCGTCTGTCTCCGAAGGTCTGCACGGACCGTCCACATGTAGCCCAAACACACCAACAAACATGTGAACACATCTGCAGACAATCAATGTTTACTGTCCGCATGTCAGCGCCTGCTGACAGTGACTCTCCGCTATCAGGTGAAGCGAGTGGACAGGCTGAAGGCAGAGAGACAAAGCTGATAAACTCTAAACTCAGAGGGACACAGGAGACAGCAGCACAGAGGACATGTCCTTCATGAAAGAAGAAGGCACCGGGGAGAAGACAGATCTGAACCAAACAAAGCAGCAACATCTGGAGAGCGTCCAGAGGTTCAATAATCCCGTTTACAGCCTGAAGCTCATTCTGTTCATCAGCACAGAGTCCTGAGCCACACTGATCAGAACCCAAATACACTGAAAAAGACCTGCAGCAGCCTGTGTGTGTGTGTGTGTGTGTGTGTGGGGACACATCTGCCACCGGTGCTACTGGTCAGTCCCCAGGTGTGAATGTGTATGAGGAGCAGTCACATAAAAGCCTCCATTGTTGCAGCAGATGAAGGAAAACAGGCTGCAAAAATCAAAACCCACTACGGGCTGAAAGATTTAGAGCACTGTCCCTTTAATGTTTGTGCTTTTCATGAAACAGTGTTGTCCATTACGGTTTCTCTATCGTAGGGGATGAGGGCGCTCTGAGCTGACCAAATAGCGCAGATTATGTGCATATCTGGTTTGTTGTACCTGTTATTAGTGAAGAATAGCACCGCTAATGAAGCTAACTTAATCACAAACAGTGCATTTCCTATAACACAGGAACGCCATAAAAGCATCCTGCCGATTCGCCAGTGGAAGGCTTTAAATGCTTTGATACGGCTGAAGGCAATAAGTAAACAGAACAACTCCCTTTCCCAAACAGGAAACAGCGAACATGATCACCATGTCAGCCTGAAGAAATGGACTAGTCATGTCTGATTATGAGTGTACAGCAGTATACAAATAGTAGTATGAGTGTTTGTTTTTAATGGCTGAGACTGGTGAGCAGCAGACTCAGCAGATCTCAGGTGTTTTCTGGTCTAACCCCGCCACCAGAGAACCCTGTTTACTGTAAACGCTGCTCAACTTTGCAGCAACAGACACCACAACTTTTAGATACCTGGGAACATTAGATCCAATCAGTGTAACC